AGGTATGAGAAATCAATGAAAACATTACTTGTCCCTACTGACACCGCTGGGGGTGACTTTGGGACAGCACCTTCCTTTTTAAAAATTTCACAAAGAGTGAAAATGATGGCAAAAATGGAAAAGTCATTCGAAGGGGCATGTCACGAAGATGTTATATTATTTTTTTGACAATTTTTTAGTCTTCCGTGAAAAAGTTACGGCAAAAAAACACAAAAAAACTGTCCCATGCCACCCCAGTTTACGGTCTTACACACTACCATTTCGTAGGAATTTAATGGCCATCCGCTCCATCCACGCCTGGTGATCACTCTACTACGGTTGAGGAAGATAGCCTATTTTATGTAATAATTATGTCATCATGTTGTAGGCAACCTAAGTGAGCAGTTTCCGCCGTTTTATAGCAATATTAGACAATACGATAGTATTTCTATTAAATAGTTCAATGAGTTGCTGAAATTTTCTCACAGCAACCAACGTCAGACTATTTTACTTTTTAGCGCATTTCCACAAAAATAAAAAAAAATGCGCTATTGTGGCCACTTTGTCCGTCCGTTCGTCCGCTCGTTCGTTGAGACGCTACTAGTTCTTTATCTTAAGAGCTATTGTTCTACTTTTTTCTCTATTTGGTTCGTTATGGTGTCGAGGCTTGCACCAAGGAAGGAATTTTTTACATGTTCCATAATTTTACACTTTTGCCGTTTATTAACGCTCCTAGAGATCGTTTATAATTTTGTATTGCTGTCTGTCTGTTGGTCTGTCCGTCTATTCCTTTGTCTGTCTGTCCCTCTATCTGTCCGTGTGAACGATAACTTTGTTTAGAAATGTCCGATCGCTTTGACATCTCCGTTAGTTATGAACTGAATTGCATGAAATTCAATATGGGCATAGCTTTAGCCATATAATACGCAGTGCAATGCCAAAAGTTGAGTCGAATCGATTCAAAATTCACAGTGTCCTTTTCGCATGTCGACCATTTATAAACCGAATTGCAAACTTTTTTATTTATAAAAGTATTTGAATGAAATTTGATACATAGGCACTTGGAATAAAGAAAAATCTAACGTTGGTTTCAAAATTTAGATTTGCGCATGCGCAGTTCCAACTTTCTTATTTAGAAAAGCATTGAAATGAAATTCTTCTTATAAACTGAAATTGAAGTAGCACGTCAAAAATGGATTGCACATTTGCAACGCAACTTTCATATTTGTGGCCGGATTTTTACGATTTTGACAGAAGTTGCATCTTACAAATGGAAAATGAATGCAAGTGGAAATGCGCTTTTTGTAAATCGTTAACGATTACTTTTTAACTTGTTTAGATTGATCCCACCCATTCCTTGCCCCAAATCTTTTTCACCAATTTATTAACTTCCACATCCAAACAGATTCATTGATGGTTAGAAATCAACTCCGCCTGGAGTGATTTTTATTTTATTCCGTATATCTTACATGACGCACCCAATCAAATGACGACTGCTATACAAACAACATTTATATCCCACGACTCACAGGCATCCACTCGTAATAAGTCATAATCGGCAAAAAGTGAACATTTGTCATCCCACAAACACCTTTCGCCACCCCAACTTCACCGGTAGGTTGGCAGCTGACTTGCTGTTGTTTGTCACCTTCGACGAGACGCAGTACGCTTTACTGTTGGGTTAATCTTTCCCATTCCTACACAGGCATATACAGGGTGGTGACTTGCGCAACGCATCATAGGAATTTCAATGTAAAATTCATAACATGCGATTATTGGCTCCCCAAATTATTTTAGAGCAAAAATGTATTAAGGTTTTATGTAGAAACAAATTTTTTACGTCAATAAACCGTATTAGTTTTCAATTTTTTGCATAATAAAGACGGAAAATTGGAAAAATAAAACCCCCATCTTATCAATAATCTGTGATGCCATGGAATTTTCTAAAACAAAAAGATATCCAATTATCAATTAGCAGCCGTTCGAAATGGATTTTATGATCGACTTGGTTACTGTCTTGCATTTAATGGGGACTTATTCGAACATTTATTGTAAATTGTTGTATTAGGAAACCGTTTTTAGTAATTTGGTTTTTCTTTATGTTGAATTCGCTGTTTTAAATATAATACTTTTTGATAGAATTTGATTTGTTTTATAGCAGACATTCCATGGCATGACGGATATTGGCGTAGCTTTTCTATTATAAAATTCCATGGCATCACAGATTATTGAAAAGATGGGGGTTTTATTTTTCCAATTTTCCGTCTTTCCGTCTTTATTATGCAAAAAATTGAAAACTAATACGGTTTATTGACGTAAAAAATTTGTTTCTACAAAAAACCTTAATACATTTTTGCTCTAAAATAATTTGGGGAGCCAATAATCGCATGTTATGAAATCCCTATGATGCGTTACGCAAGTCACCACCCTGTATACAAAATCAAAAAAAAATTAGGACTATAATACTGGGAAGAAAGTACCGTTACATGTGCATCCAATTAAGTCGATTTTCTGATGACCATGGTTACCAAACCCTTAAACAAGAAAGAAACAAAACTGATGAGTTGTAATTAATTAATAATCCTAACGAAATTACCTACACTTTTTCTTTGCAATAAACTAAAAATAAATTCGAAGATCTCTTGGCAGAGGCTTCACGCACTAAGCGATCTTCAAGTTTATTCTTCTTTTATTAGAAAGAAAAAATGTAGGTTGATTTGTGAGCATAATTAATTAATTACAACGTCGACCGTGCTTCGTCCCAAGGCATATTATCTCCTCGCGACAAAGACTGTTGCTGCAATCATGTTATTTATGAGGTTTATGCTCGTAGCCACACTTTATATTTTGCAAAGTTGCTTTAGTTATTGAAACGAATTTAGGAATTATTCCAAATTAAAGACGAATTTGTACCATTTCGCGCTCGAAACCTTCATTTATTTTCCGAAAGCATTATTAGAATCATTTTTATCACGTAACCGATTTAATCGATTTGTTTTAGACTACGAACAAAAAATAAGATGCGAAACGTGTCAATTAGCTTTATTTAATATTAGCGAAAATTTACTAGGTATAGTTTAATTAATTTTAAGGCCAAAGGGGATTTATCTTATCCTTCAAAAGATGTTATATTCATTTGTAGGGAAACTGAATTTTGTCACAATAATATAGTTTTGTGAACTACACGATTTCTATTTGTTTGGTTATGAAGATGAAAGATCCATCGTAAATCTAAACCGAGATCTAAATCAAAAATTATACCAAACAGCAGTTTAATACAAAGCTGTGATCCAAAATAAAAAGAAACCCATAACACCCCATTGCACATTTATTTTACTACCCCACTGCCTACGGTGACGCGTTCAAATTTGTTATTATTGTAAGCTCAACTTTGCAAACATAAATATTGTATAATAAACGTCTTGAACATACGATGTACTTAGGAGACGAGGCAAGTAAAAAATAGTATTGCGAAAGTGCACTGTAAATTTATTAGTATGCATGATCGTCCATTAAAAAATTAACGCATACATTTTATTACTTATACTCATTTATCTCTTGTGTGGATGGTTCTTTTTCATATCTACACTAACCAGTTTTACATATTATGAGGCACTTGACGACCGCGACACCACTATTTAACTAATATTACTGCTTTTATATCTCGTTTTATATAGTCTGCACTTAACATTACAAAAATATTCTTTAGTTAAACACAATTATGTTATTAAAGTGCGATGTGACAATTTTAAGTTGAAAATCTGTATTTACCTAGATCCAACTTTTTAAAAAAAGCTTTACTACATTGTGACCTGTAAATTTACCAAAGCTTATGCTTAGGGTTTTTACATTATGAAAGAATATCCTTGAAGAAGGAGGTCACCCAACTAATTTTTTTAAACCACACATTTATTTATTTATTTTTGAGTGGGCGGAGTTTCAACCAAGCTGCTCTACGAACCCAACCCACTAGGGGAGGGGAGACTTGCTCAGTACTGGACACCTTAGATTTTTTGGAAATAACTTTTTTTTTATAAACACATATAGGAAAGCAAAGTACAATAATTGACATTATAAATGTTTATTTATACAAAAAAAATATAAATTTACAAAGTGCAATGGTTTAAGACCTGAAGCAAACTAACAAAAAAGTATTCAAAAGCGGTAATGAGGAAATTCTCTTACCCAGTACCGGACACGTCCGTTACTCTTTGATTTCTATGATATAAAGTAACTTGTAGCTCATTTTTTAAGAATTAAAAAAAAATATGCAATTGTTTGCGTTTTGTCCGTCCGCCCATCCGGTCTGGATGCCTTCTGCCGTTTCGAACTACTTCTAGGGGAATGGTCCTAGAGTCCTGGAATTTTTTGCAGTAGGTAGCCTATACCTTGAGGGTATGCCAGACGGCCATCAAATTTCGCTGTCTTTCACTAATAAAAACTATGGGTAGTTTAGAGGTTTCATTTTCCTCCAGAGAAGTGAGCTGCAGCAAGGTAGTCCAAATCTGTAAATATCTCTTTCTTAAATGGGTGAAGCCCACACTGAAAAAAATGACTTCCTTGTGGTAACAAATTTAGAATTGCTACATGCATATTGTTGCAGCAGCAAAAAGAAATGGTTTTTAGAACTAAATAATTTACTGCTTTAGTTTTCTCAAGTAGTTGCGATTTTCTGGGGTTAATAATGAAACTTTGTTGGAGGATAGCAAACATTTTTTGTTAAGAGCGCCAACGAGCATTTTGCATTGATTCCATGAACATAAAAGTATGCCTTCATAACAAAAAGCAGTTTGCTGATAAACCTAATACTACTGTTTTATTTATAATACTGCAATCGTGCAATTCCCAAGTAGTTAAGACAGGATGTGCTTATCTCACCTTGCCTTGCATGTCAGCGAGATGTGAGATGACATCATTACAAAGTACTCTGTGACCCTGTCCAGTGTCATAATTACTACTTTTCACGGTAAGTCGTCAATCTTGTACCTACTGAATTTCGCTTATTTTCATTACGAACTTTTAGTGTTTTAGTGCGTTTTTTCAATGAGTGAACAAAGTGTGGCCGATTTATTGGAACAATGGGGATTCCCCGAATTAGTTTTGGTGTTTGAAGGTAAGTGTAACTTTAATCCATATGCAATAACCGAATGATAATCCTTCCTACAAACGTATGCTTTGGTGAAAATTACTGCTTGCTTGCATTACCTATGGATGGGATTTTTCTGCTAAACGAAAGCTGTGTATTTGCACTTTTAATTACTCCCAAGTACAAATTTCTTTTTGATAGCACACTGACGGCTTGCGAGTTCCTTGGTCTTTGAATTAAACAAGCAGAGCAGACAGTTTTTCAGTTTTACACCCTATAGCCTATAGTATTTACTTGCGCACATTCAAATATTAGTAAAATTTCATTTCTGTATAAATATAAACGCCGCATATTTAATGTTTTCAATCTTTCTATTAAGCCATTTTAAGTTTTATTATCATGGGCAAACGGAATATCGGTCATAAACATACAGAATACGACTCTGGGTGTACCATACTAAGCATAATCGAATCTAGTTAGTTGACTGTGATCGAATCGAATCCTACATTTATAATATTGTATGCTTTCAAGCGTTTAAAAATAGTCAATGTGTAGGTATGGGTTTTAAGTTTTAAGGGCGGTTGAAATATTTGTTTAATCTTAATCCAAAAATTGAAACTCGAACTCGCATTCGACAACTTTCAGCCAACTTACTTAAGACTTGAAATTTACACAATTGGTGGAAGATCTAAAAGTTAAATCCAGATTTATCCCCTCAGGCATTACGCCCATCCGTAAAATGTAACAGTGAGAAAGGAGAGTATGAAAAAATGTTTATACAATAAGATATTGTATGTTGTAGAAATCAAATGTGCATATGCGAAAAACTGCCGAATGTCAACTTATTTATAGGTATTTTTTTGAAATTTTGACCACAGGTGCTTCTAGTAAAGACAAGCATATCTCATATTGTATAAAAATCAGATCGAGAATCAGATGCACAGTCGCAATTCCAACTTTTTTATTTAAAGATATATTTTTGTAATTTTAACCAAAGCTGCCTTTAGTAAAGACAAACATATCCCATATTTTCAAAATCAGATGCGCAATGTCAATTTTGTTATTTATAGTTATTTTTTTGAAATTTTGACCAGAGATGTTTGAAGGAAAGACAAGCATACCGCATATTGTAAAAATCGGATGCGCAGACTTTGCAATACCAACCTTCTTATTTATAGCAATTTTTTTAGCGCATTTTCAAACGATGTTGGGTGCGCTATTGCAGTCACTTTCTCTGTCCGTTTGTCCGTCTGTCAGTCGATCCGAGGCCTTAACTACTACAGTTTTCAAGACAATTAGTTCGTTCTTTTTGCATTTGAAAGCATATAGCTCTGGCACCTGAGCCAAAAATTTTGGCGATTGATTTGCGCAAAAGTAACTTCCTTATTTATGGAGACATTTTTCTGAAATTTTAACCATAGACGCTTTTGGTAAATATAAGCATATCGCATATTGTAAAAATCAGATTTGCGCATGCGCAGACTGCGCAATGCCAACTTTATTATTTATGGAGATATTTTTTTGAAATTTAATCCGCAGATGTTTCTGGGAAAGACGAGCATATCGCATATTATAAAAGTCAATTGTGCGCACGAACTTTCTTAATTATTGAGATATTTTAACCACAGATGCGTCCAGTAAAGACAAGCATATCCCGTATTGTAAAAATCACGTGCACAGACTTCGCAATGCCCACTTTCTTATTTATAAACATATTTTTCTTTAATTTTAACAACAGATGTCATTAGTAAAGACAAGCATATCACATATTGCAAAAATAAGATGCGCAGACTACGCAATGTCAACTTTCTTATTTGTAGAGGTATTTTTTTGAAACTTGAACCACAGATGCTTCCAGTAAAGACGAGCATATCTCATATTGTAAAAATCAGATGCGCAAATGCCAAATTTATTATTTATAGACGGTTTTTTATGTAATTTTTACCACAGATCACCTTATGACCGCATATTGTCAAAATAAAATGCGCAGACTGCACAATGTTAACGTTTTTATCTATAATTTTTTTTAAATTTTAATCACTGATTTTTCTAGTAAAGACAAGCATTGTAGATATCAGATCTGCGCATGCGCGAACTGCGCAATGTCAACATTCTCCACCATATCACATTCGATTATCCCTACTATCATGGTAGACCATATAACCAATGTAACCAAAAGAATTGCAATCAACATTGAGATCAACGTCTTGCTCTTATTATCCATACAAAAAGAACCATAAGTTATTAGACATATAAGTTTAATACTCATCATTGTAATGCTGTATTGCGCATTTTTTTAATTTAAAGAAAAGTGGTGATTTTATGGGATTTTTTCTACAGCCATGAAATTGTTTTCAAAGTCAAACCTGGCGGTGTGCCAGATAACCTCCTTTTCCTAAATATTAGGCAGCATGTTGATGTATCTTTTATTCCTGGTTTTAAGTATTTTTAAAAGTTGTTTTTCATTTTTTTGAATTTAGGATATTAAGATTTCTAATTAGACAGTTATTTATCCAGAATGTCGTTCTTTTTCGTAATCTAAAAGATATACAGGATGTTACGCTTAAAATGTCCCTTGTGTTATGTGTGTGACGAACAAGTGGAAAATTGATCTTTTTTTCCCAGAAAACGAAATTACTTGGGAGGCATTTGAGTCCTTAACGGACGACGTAATCAAAGAGTTAATACCAAAGATTGGCCCCCGTATTATTTTCAAGAAAAAGTACGATCTCTTTAGAGCCCCTGTCATAACTGTACAATCCGCCATCGAATACCCTAATACACTGAGTCCTTCGCCTTCTATTTCTTCTGCGATTTCGGAGACACTATCGGTATCTTCCTGTACCTCTGATGCTGAAGCTCCTGGGCCATCATATATCGAAGTGACAACATCTGCGTCATGTAAGTTTTAGTAACAATTATCTACACGTTTCATCATTTTCATCGTTTTAGATAATGATATTGACGGCAATGCAGTAATTAAAAAAAATGCGGAAGAATTAAGGAAGCTATTACTGAACAGTAACAAAGGAAAGATGGTGATGAGTTATTATGATAAGCACAAAAAATTTAACGATAGTATTCGTGACAAGTTAACCGACACTATCATTGAGGGCGAAGTGGCTGATGATATCGATAAAAGGTAATATCGCTCTTTCCTGATATGGAGCTACTTAACTTCAGTAATAATGGGTAATTTTTTTAATATCATTATTTTTACCTAGAATGTCAAGCGACAGATTTGAGTCATTGGCAGCTGCCATAAATGCCCTTTTTCCGACAGAAAACAAGGTAAATTGTAAATTGCCTAAAGTTGAAATTAATTAATATATTTTTAGGAACGATTCATCGTGGACAAAATTGGGCAGCGGAAAACTTTTTCGAAAATTTTATAATATGAGACGGCAATTGCGTCAAAGCGGATTATTACCGTCTAGGTCGTCTATACATGAGAAAAATGCAAAAAACCATGATGCTTCAGATGAAAACGACGATGACGTCACGTGGTTAAAGAACTCTGTAGATTTTTGGACGGATGTCATGACAAGGTGGGACGCCACCTATCATAAAAGGGCACCGTTCCGAAATTTATCTATTATCGAATACATGCGGACTTTTCCGTCCCTCCAAGACAAAAAGGGATACACTCTGGTAAAATTTTATTTGTATTACAAAAAAATCACTTATTGTATCATTTTCGTTTCAGATTCAAAAAGATTTTAATCAATTGTATCCCCATTTAGAACTTAAAATGTATACAAATTTTGATTCATTCGCAAGGAAAATTTTAGCGTACGCTAAAAGCTTGAATAAAAAAGATGTCACGGAATACATACAAATCTTTGAGAATGAATTAAATGAGGGTATGGAATTTTTATTATAGAAACACTATCATATTTTATCCGTTGTAGATTCCTATAATTGCCATGTATTGTTCCTGTTGCCCATGTTATTAAAACCAATTGTCATTAAAAAAAAAGGAACTGGGGTCTGGAAACCGTCAAGAGTTGAAATAACCGAGGGTTTTATTTGTCATGTAAAGGTGCAGTAATTAAATAATTACAGCATTCTCAGTACATTGTGTTTCTCTTTTTCTAGATTGCTGGAGAAATTAAGCCTTCTCTCGAAAGAAGGCGTTCCAAGTTAGCGACGTATGGATTAACTTTGCAACCCACACCGATTCTAGTAGGAGAAGATTTTGCATCACTGGAGAAGTGCTATGTAGCAGTGGATGACGTGTTCTACGAGGTACCCACGCCATTAAAAGCAGTAGATGTTGCATTTAGCATCATTCACGCTCTCAACGCATGTTACCCCAGCGAAGCAGAACAAGTGTGGTTAATAATTCAGAGGTGCGTCTATGAACTAACTACGCCATATGATAAAAAAATTATAGGTGTCAATACATTGGTTGCAGATATAAATAATTTTGAATAGTTTCTGACAATTTGTAAATTTGTTTAACAATGCCAACTTGCTTTGTATGTCGTAACTCGTTTCCATCTGTACCAGCACTCTGTATGCATTTAAAAATTCAGCATGCATTACATACTAATAGTGTTTATCGTTGTCGTGAGGCCAATTGTGCACGTGACTTTGTAAACCTAAAAACTTTCAAAAGTCATCTAAAACGCAAGCATTTATTTAGTGACTGTAACAATAGTTCTACAAACTCTTTTCCTAATATTGTTAGGGAATTTGCACCAACTTGTGATACTGGTAACCCTTCTGCAACTGACGTTGCATTAGAACATCACATTTCTAGTAATCTCTCCAATGATTCAGTCGTTAATGAATTTGTTGACATGATGAATCATGAAACCATGCAATTTATAGCAAAGCTGTACAGTTCATCTTTATTGCCTCGAAAATGTGTTCAAGATATTATAGATTTTTTTACGGAATTTTTAAAAAGTGGGTTTATTTGTAAATTACAACACTTTATTTTAGGTTTGTTACGACCCTTTGATGTACTAGAACAAACTATTACAGACATCAAATGTATGTTTAATCATATGATTGACCCATTTAGTCTCTATAAAACAGAATATCTTCGATTTAAACATTTTGAAAATAGTGATTGCTATATCAAACCTATCACGTACATTATAGGACAACGTCAAACTGTTATACGTTCAAATAAAGTGGATGTATTGACATCCGTTGATGTAACTGCTCAGGTTATACCTCTTCGAAATGTGTTCACCAAACTGTTTGAAGTGCCTAATTTGTATAGTGAGATGTTATTGTACATTCAACAGCTAAGGCAAGATAAAGTAATCAGTAATATTTACCAGTCTTCTCATTTTCAAAGCATTATTAAAAAATTCAACTCAAACCAAAATAAATTAATCCTACCATTGCTAATGTATTTTGATGACTACGAATGCGGCAACCCTTTAGGCTCTCATGCAGGAACGCATAAGCTAGGGGCGGTTTATGTCTCTTTACCGACAATCCCGCCAAAATACTCTTCTCTTTTGCAAAACATTTTCTTGGCATTACTCTTTCATAGTAATTCCAGAAAGGATTTTGGAAATAGTGCTGTATTTAAACCTTTATTAGAAGAATTCAAATTTTTAGAAACTAATGGAATTGCATTTTGTACCGCTCAGAACGAACGTGTTGAAGTTTTTTTTGTTTTAACACTTATTCTAGGAGACAATTTAGGACTACATTCAGTATTGGGATTTACGGAGAGTTTTAGTGCAAGTTTTAATTGTCGCTTTTGTAAAATTGATAAATTTTCTTCTCAAGTTCAAACTAATGTAGACCACGCAGTAATGCGAACAATAGAGAATTATGAACAGGATCTTATGTTGGATGATTTATCTAAAACTGGAATTAAAAGTAATTGTCTTTTTAATGAATTAAACTTCTTTCACGTGGCGCAAAATTATTACGCAGATATTATGCACGATTTATACGAAGGGGTATGTCACTATGATATGTTACATATATTACGATATTTATTGTTTGATAGTCAATATTTTTCCTTAAATACATTAAATAGTAGATTGGAAAGTTTTTACTTTCTAGACGAATATTCAAATAAACCACCTAAATTGGTTAAAGACTTCAATCAAAAGAGTAAAATTTCTATGTCTGCATCCGAGATGCTTGCATTCGTAAAATGTTTTGCCTTACTGGTTGGAGACCTCGTACCGCGAGATGACGAAATTTGGCACTTTTACATAATCTTGAGAGAAATAATAAATCTAGTTAACTTTTCTTATACTGATAATGACACTCTTTTGAAATTAGAGCATTATATAATTAATCATAACGCGTTGTACCAAACATTATTCAAAGACACGTTGAAACCTAAACACCATCACTTATTGCACTATATTTACATTATGAAACAAATTGGTCCCCTTAAAAATTTATCTTGTTTAAGATATGAATCCAAACATAGGCAGTCAAAAATGACCGCGGATGTTAGTTGCTCACGCAAAAATATAACAAAGACTTTAGCAATAAAAAACCAATTGAAATTTTCTCAACGCCTAATGGCAAAAGAGGGTTTTAAAGATACGATTATCATAGGTCCTGAAGTGATCGATGATGATACTAATCTTGCACGTTTTCGTCAGTTCATTCCCTCCACATTTTCAAATTGTTTTATTGCAAAATGGGTTTCTGATGCAAATATAAAGTATAAATCAAAAAGTATTATCTTTGTTGAAATTCAAAAAAATGGTTTACCACTATTTGGTGAAGTGGAATTCGTAGTCATTAATTGTCGAAGGGAAGTAGGATTTTTATATAAGGAAATTACAATTTCAAACTTTGATGAACATTTTTTTTCGTATGAGGTAGAAACCAAACATAATAGGATTAATTTTGTGAAATATAATGACTTATGTGAAATTCCAATATGCGCAATACACAGAATAGCAGATGGAAGATTATTTGTAACTCCAAAAAATGTTTGTTTGTAATACTTAATCGGCAGTTTACACATACTTCTTGACAATTTTTGAAGTTAAAAATAATATTTTTATATGTACCAGGGGCGAAATAATATTTTTAAATGTATCACGGGCGGCGACTTATGGGGAACAAGGTGATCTTAAGGTTTCCCCCTATGCAAATTATACAGGGTGATTCGTGCAGTCGGTTCGTCAGAAGTTTTTAAACTTGCAGTTGTCTTGGAACTTGCTTCACAGTCATAATTGACCATTGCGAATTGAAATAAAATAATTTCGCGTCGCTTGTGTTAATACCGAAAGTTGCCACCATCTTGCTTTTTTGAAATAGAAACAATTATAAATGAACCATTTTATTCTGAATTCAAGTTGCGTAGAAATCTATCATAGTTTTTAATAAATCAATTTTTCTGGAAAAATTTGGAGATGCAAGAATTCCATTCAAAAATTCAGATTTCTCAACCCGTCTAAGATAACTGAGTGTTTTTGTAATTGAATCCTTAAAGTTTAAGGAATTTGTTTAATGACCGTTGAAAGTCTTGAAAAAGTTTCCATTTATCAAAGCTAGAAATAAAAAAAATGCCAAAAACTTTAGTTTTTTAAATTGCAATTACTATTTCTGATACCAAGATTGAATGTAGAATTGAATTTTTAGAGCCACTTTTATTACCACTCTGTAGCCCTATAACCGGTAGTTTTTGAATATAGTTGCAATTTGAAAAACTTAAGTTTTTGACCGGACCCTTGCATCTTTACGAACAACCATAACAGAAATCTATACAAATTTTAAATGAGTTGAATTCAGAATAAGATGGCGTATTTAAAAAAATAGAAAACAAAAGATGGCGAAAACTTCCGGTATCTACGGAAGCGGGGCCCTCTTACAATTATTTTATTTCAATTCGCAATGGGTGCAGGTAAACCAAATTTCAACTGCAAATTTAAACACTTATAAGTATAACGAACAAGTTTCGTGAATCGCCCTACATCTTTTAAACTCATATTCATAATCATCGTCTTCCAAATCTAATATGGTACTGATACTGAGGCAAAATTTGATAAAACCAATCTTAATTTACGATCTCTATTCTTCACGAAAATTCACCCTTGTGCAAAAAATTAAAACCCGCCGCCCCTTGTATGTTTACTTCTATATTTATATACGTACCTACTTATAGTATTGGCGCGTACTGTGTTAGATGAATAACCTTTCTTTTGGCATGTAATACAGGGTGTTTCGAAATTCGCACACTTGTAATATTGTGGATTTGAATAATTACTGGCCATTATTTCGCAATTTGAAGTGTACGATAATTACAATAAATTGTTTTGAACTATCTTTTGTTTTCCGGCATTTTCATTTTAGATTTTTCGAACAACAACTCGAAAAGTGCCGGTCTGATCAAAAACTGGTCGAGGAACTTTTTATTCAGTTTTCGTTTATAACACCATACCACAGTCCGTGTGCGCGAATTTCGAAACACCCTGTATATGTAAAATCTGTTTATATATAGTATAGGTAAGTTTTAATTTAAGTGTTTTATATTTTGTTTTAGTTTTTTTTATGTAGTTAGGTAAATTTAATAAATGTGTATTTTAAAAAAAGTGTTTTGTTTTAATTGACCATCACCAAAACGCGCGGACGATGCAGACAGATCGGAAAATTTGTTGTGCCAACTAGGATTCATAGTTAATCCAACTAATCATTTGAGACAATTTATTAGTTTCTCCAGCACAAATGGTATGCTACTACAACAAAGATAAAAAAGGAGGTCCAGCAAATACTCGTTAGTTTATATAACAATACCGCTATGCTGCTGCTACTAAGCATTACGTAACAATATTTGTTACAGGGACAAATATTTTTGCAAGCTTCTTTAGTTCATCAAACAGAAAGGGTATGCTATCTTAACTACACTATATAATTTGCCACAAATAATTGTTTTAGTTACTGGAACAAATGATCATTGATTCCTATAACAATAACGCTATGCTGCTGCGACTAAGCATTACTTGTTACAGGGACAAATTTTTTTGCAAGCTTATTTAGTTCCTCAAACAAAAATGGTATGCTTTCTTAACTAACTTGTATAATTTGTCACAAATAATTGTTTTAGTTACTGGAACAAATTTACTTCCAACAAGTTATGTTGATTTCCTACAGCAAATATTTTTGTTGAGGCTATAGCTACTAAAAAAATTAGTTGAAGCAACTAATTGTTAGTTGCGACAACATTTCTTTTTTTTCAGTGCAGTGCAGGCAAACCCAGACTTTGCCAGTTCCATCCTGCAAATAGCCATGAAAGCAGTCCTTACTAAACCTGCAATGTCCCGTTGAGATATTTTAAGGGCGATATAGATTCATCCACAGCACAGGCTTCATTGTACGCAGCTTTGAAGGGTCTAATTATTGCACGGTCCAGTGGCTGAAGTGTGTGCGGAGGGTGGCTAATCATATGCACGTTGTTGTTTCTTGCATACAGAATCACTTGTAG